TCCTAATTTAATTATTTGATCGTTAGGTTTATAATGTCTGGTAAAAATGCAAACCTGAGATTTATTACAAGATAATTCAAAATTGTTTTTATGGAGCCATTTTTGAAGTAGCTGATAGATACTATCCAAGTTTTTAATAATTGCTTTTTCATATTCTTTGTGTTCTGTGTAAATGCAGAAACCATCTGCGTATTGTATGAGGTTGAATCGTATGTTATTTATTTTAATATTGTACAAGTCCGCTACATACATATTAAACAGGATAAGGCTCAATACAGAACCCTCAGGTAATCCTTTGTTTACGATTCTGGGACCTATGAGCATTTGTTCTTTTCTTAAATAAACTAATCTGTATAGATTAACAATACTAGCGGCAAATTGGGCTGGAATTTGAAATATTCTTGTCATTTTTTCTTTAAGTGCTGTTAGACACACGGAGTCATAAGCACCTTCTATATCAAGAAATAATGCTGGTAAGTAATTGTTTCGGGAATAATTGTTTTGAATGTCTACAACTAGGGTAGCCAATGCATCCAAAGTACCAAAACCTTTCCTAAATCCGTATTGTTATTTGGATAGAAGGTTCTGCTCTATTAACCACCATTCTAACCTACCATTAATTATCCTCTCTAGAGTTTTTGGTACACAAGATAATAAAGATATGGGTCTGTAAGCTTAAACTAAGATTTTTCCCAGGTTTGGGTATAGGAATGACAATAATATGTTTGAAGGCTAAAATGTTAGAACCTTCTCTAATTATCTGATTAAAAATATTTAGAAGTAACTCTTTTGCATTATTTGGTAAATTCAATAGCATAACATATTTGATTTCATCATAACCAGGAGAAGTGTTGGGACGACCACTAAGTGCACAGTCCAATTCTAGCATTGTAAATGATTTTAAGAGAAAATGACTATGATTTGGATTGAATAACATCAAATCTTCGTGATTGTTCACATATGGTGGTGCAATTTTGTCCAAAAACTCTGCTATCCACGAATCTTCTAGTGGTAATGGAGCACTGACCCTTTTCCTGTTCATCCTTTTCGCTTGATTCCAAATCGAAGTAGGCGATGTTTGTTTATTTAATTTTGAGCACCAATCAACCCAACTTTGTTTGGCTTTCGATTTCAATAATTTCTTAGCGTGAGCTCTAGCTTGTTTACATTTAATAAAATTTTCAATTGATGAATCTTGCTTGTATTTTATTAATACATTTTTCCTTTCTGCAACAATTAGATCACATTCTGCATCCCACCACGGTGAAGGAGTCCGTTTTTTACACTTAAAAGGTTTATATTGGCAAATAGATTGTGTGGAAGCTTTATTGATACAGTCTAATAAATTATTATATTTTTGAATGAAAAAGACAGCAAATATTTGATTTCACGCAAAAAGCGCCTATGTATCTGTTGATACGTATTTCGACCTAATAGGTCTCATCAGAACAGTTATTCATAGGTGTTCTCAACGTGAAAAATCAATATTTTCTGTCTTTTAAGAAGCAACGCTATTGAAGCCATTTTAGTGTTGCTTCTTAAAAGACTAGGATTTTATTATATTTTTCTTCAGCATTTGGGGATATAGGTCCACTTTCATTTAACATATTCTCGATTATTTCAGCGTACATATCCCAATTGGCTTTCTTTAATATTCCATTTACTTTTGGGGTATATGGTCTCATTCACAGCTCTTGAGTATTCGAGTTCTATTTTTACAACAAAGTGATTTGATCCAAGTGTATCAGAATCTACAGTCCAAAATGTCTTAGCAAAAATGGAAGCGGAACAAACCGTAATATCAATCATAGAATCTGAATGTCGTGGATTTCCTTGACAAGTAGGTTGACCGTTATTCATCACAATAAAATCAATATCCTGTAGGGTCTCTACAATTTGATCGCCAATATTATCATTTTTTAATGATCCCCAGAGCGCATTATGGGCATTCATATCACCCCCAATAATGCATGCACTTGGGAAAATAAGTTCGTCCAATCTTCTAGTCTTGTTTTGGTTTTTGGACATCTATATACAGAGAGAAACCTCAAGTGAGTATTATCGTAATTAATTTTAATACCACAGGCAAGCAGCTCTTTATTGAATTTTTTATTTAATTTTAATATTTCAAAACGGATACCCGTTTTTACCAAAATAGCGACACCAGCAAAACCGTCTGCACGATCTTGACGAACAATATTATAACCTTTAAAACTATATACAACATTATTTTTAAACCAGGTTTCACTTAAAAGAACAATATCAACATCTTCTTTAGTAAGAAAATTGAGTAGGCTGTTTTTATTTGCAACAGCTGATCTAGCGTTCCATTGCATAATTTAAGTTTAGTGTTTAAAGCCATAAATTTAAGTACTTTTAAAAATATCCTCGAGAAGTATGCAAACCCTTAGCTAACAAATTATAATCCAGTGTTTTTACATCCTCAACTGATTTGACATTTTTTATAAATTCAGAAAAAAAATTTACTAACGAAATAACTATCTGTTTTTTTTTCACCATCTATTGAACTATTAGGTGTATTGGGATTAGGTGGTAGAGGTTGTAATGGACCAAATCTAAAAGGAAAGGTGGTAGAATCTGTAGGGGATTGTAAAACAGGAGTAGATACTTTCCTTTTTTTATGTGCATAATGTTCAGTATTAATCTTACTAGGTCCAGGATGAATAAAGTTTGTTGATTTTTTTATATACGGTCTTGGAATGGTAGGATGAGATGACGTAATGTCATCAGATACGTTAGGTACTTTTGGAAAATTTTCTTCAAGATTTGACAATATCGAAAATTTATTGTTACTAACAAATCCGAAAAAAGATGATTCTTTATATCTTTTGGCTTCTGAAAAGGAGATTTTTTGATCTAGCATAATGTTTTTAATTTTTTTTCCTCATAAACGGGACAACTTTTGAAGATCGAAATACGATCTTCACTTTTACAATGTATACAAAAAGTTTTTTTAGTGTCGCATATGTGACTATCATTTTTAATTTCTGCACATCGTATACAAAATTCTTGTGTGCCCTTGCATTGCTTGATGAAATGTGACCAAATTTCAGACACTTGTAGCACTGTATTACCCTACCTACAAATCTTTCTACTGGCAAATACACAAAATTAACTACGACATAAGTTGGCAAAACATTTCCTTCAAATGTAACTATAATATTTCGTCTGGGGACGTATTCTGTTTTCTTTATCTATCTTTCTATGCATTCTTTTAATGTCAGTAATTTTAACGAAAGAGTCTATATGTTTTTTTAAATAATCAGTATCATACCTCGTATCTACATCGTGAATTATTCCCTTGATTTCCAAGAGATGGTTAGGGATATAGGCTTTTAAATTTTCATCCTTTAATTTATTATGTGTTACTAGATGACTTGCATCCAAAATTGATTTTAAAATGACTTTAACTCTATTTTTTCCTATAGATTTAATTTCCTTTAGGTTTTTGATTTTAGTTTTTGATGCAAAATTTCCCCCACAATCATTGGATGTAAACGAGAAATGTTCGAGATTATTTAAATTCTCGATATATACGCAACAGCTACGGAAATCATAATTAGAAGAAATGTTAAAAAGATTTACTTCCCTTGTTTTGTCAGTTTTATCACCGGACTCGCACCAATTTCCATGTCATGTTCTGGAGAACTTGTCGTAACACTTAAACCGCACATTTGCGTCTTATTGTTATTTTCCTCCCCCATTAGGGGAGGTAAATCACTTATTTTCACGAAAATTCCAAATATTTAACCGATATATTTACACAAAATTTAAATTATAAATATAAATATTGATTTTTAATCACCGCAAAATCTGCAGCTTAATGTGATTTTAAGGTTAGTCTGTTTACTGTGAATGCTCATTGCTCACTACGTACTGGATTTAACAATAAATTTTCTAATATTTCTGGCATTATTTTCTTTATTATCTAAATATTATGCTTTTTGTTAGATCAAGCCTAATACAAACACACAAAGAAATATTCATATTAAACAGATAAAGAAATTATATATATATATATATATATATATATATATATATATATATATATATATATATATATATATATATATATATATATATATATATATATATATATATATATATATATATATATATATTCTCAATTTTCTCGCCTATATTACGAACCAACTTTATAACTCGTGTCTACTCGTGTTTTACCCTTTCTAGTGTTGATTTAACACAACTTTCTCCTAAATAGTCCATTTATATCGTCAGAAGTTTGTTTTATTAGCTTTGGTAATATTCCAAACCTCGGAATCGTTTAGTGTAACATTTTGTGCAATACTTCGATGGACATATTTTTTTGCTTTTTTTTTTATTGACTTTTGCCAGAGTTTAACGTTCATGTCATTGCTCTACCCTTATTTATTAGAGAATTACGGAGAATCAATAATTCCCTTATTTATTCTCCCTTTTTTTAATTTCCTTTAATTTCATCATTGTTCCCTTTCTTATTGAAAATTACCCCCAAATAATTGTAGGTTTTTACACCCTTGATTTTTCCATTTTCTACATCTAAATCGGGTGTTTCGTTATTACCAACTATTAGATATTCACATTTTGCCATATTCATTTTTAGATCCGTTGATTCATATTCTTCTTTTAATTTTATTATCATATAGCTAAGATCGTCTTCATCTTTCACGGTCACTATTTGGTCATCAAAAAAAAAAGAGTGTAAACAGTTATTGTTCTTCCACCGTTATTCCCATGCTTCGGCATTTCCTTATCCATTTCTGTAGTGATCTGTCTAGATAAGTCTTAATAGTGGTGATAAACTAGATCCTTGTGTCAAACTGGATCTTAGGTGCCAGGTCTTTATACCCCATATTACGTACTTTCTCGCTGTTTTTTCTTTAGACCAATAAATACGGTCTAGTCATTTTTATAGCAAAATCTTATTAACATTGTCATTATATATATACAAATATGAAATTTTAATTAAAATATTTTAGGTTTCATTTCCAAACTACTTGGAAAATTACGATTTCAAGTTGCTGAGAGAACTGATAAAAGAATAAAAATTATGAATGAAATAACTTCCGGAATGAAAGTTATAAAAATGTATGCTTGGGAAAAACCCTTTGAAAAAGTTGTCCAACAAGCCAGAAAGTAAGAACCTATTATTTTATAATTTAGTTTTACATAAAATTTACTTGATTTATATAATAATAGAATTTAATATAAAATTATTTAAATGTTTGTATCTAAATATAAGCCTTTTTATAGTAACTAATTAATCTAATATGTCGTCTTCTTCTAAGACCTTTAATTTAACGATAAATAATCTGTCTAAACGATAGTTAAAGTTAATATTGGCTCAATATTGATTTCTTAAAAATTTCTCTATGCTTTTTTCATCGTTTTTTACTTGCGCTGCAAAATCATCTTTAGGAATCTAGGCATCCACTGCCAATGCTTTGTAATAATACTTATTTGCTTCAGGTGTTTTATCTCCAATAATGGCACACATTAAAGGCGATAACTCAAAACTCATAACTATCTGAATAATTCAGCGAAAATTACCACTACAACCATCGGTAGCGGTAATTTTGGATATGTAACCATCAACTACCCATCAGAAACGCTGAGCAGCTAATGTGTAACAGTATAAGTAGCCTCTGAAAGTTGGGAGCCAATGAGACACAATCAAACTGCAACTTTCTTTGGGAGCCAATTGCTAAAGATTCGTTTAGATCAGTATCTCCAGTGTGAGAACGTCTTATCCTAACGCAAATCTGGAAAATGAGTTTAACTGGGACAAATAAATCAGAATATTAAATAATCATATTTTCTGTATATTAACAAAAATTGAAGTTTTAATATTAAAGAAGAAAAAATCAAATCCTGCCAATAGCTTTATACAAATTTGAAATTGACTTACGCCACTATTGGCTTCATGCTGGTGACTGGATAGTAGGCTTCAGATATTGGGTGACGGATGATCAATGGCGGATGATGTTGGATTGTAGCTAATGTGGATGTTGACTTTAGATGTTGGCTTAAATGTACTTGGATTTAATTTCAATCAGATGTTGAGTTTTTCATAGCAGGGTTCATGCTGCTATAGTTTAACTCTCTATGTGGTACCGCTAGGACTAAAAAGGTAGACAAAAATTTATGTAATTTTTATGGAAAAAAACTATAATGAGAAATCTTGTGTTAGCGACTGTATGTGTTTTAAAGATTTCCTTGCCACAGAAAAAAAAACAATTTTTTGAAAAAACATAGGTAATAGCAAGGAGAATTAAGTGAATATAATTTTAATTTTAATTAATAAAACAAATTAGATAAATTGATTAAGTGGGTACATATATATATACATACATATATACAATGAAGTACATATACATACATACATATATATATATATATATATATATATATATATATATATATATATATATATATATATATATATATATAAAAATTGGCCAAATATATGGCCTAGGAGGACAAATTCGTTAAACTTCCTCCTAGGCCATATATTTGGCCAATTTAATACAACAAAGCGATAGCAGCTTTTTGCTAAAAGATTTATTCTCTACATATATATATATATATATATATATATATATATATATATATATATATATATATATATATATATATATATATATCTATCTGTATCTATAGCCCAAAATCTATTCATGTGTTTTGAATATAGGCCTCTCTCATTTGCGGTCGACCTCTTGACCTTTTTGCAGTATATGGTCTCCAGCGGCCAATTTCTTTATTCCATCTTCCATCCTGATATCTTTCATTATGCCCAGCCCATTTCCATTTTAATTTCAATGCATGTTCGACAGCGTCTGTTGTTTCGGTTTTACATCTTATCCACTCGTTCCTCTTTTTATCTCTTAACGATATTCCCAACATTTGTCTTTCCATAGCTCTTTAAGTTTTCTTTATTCTATCTAAGTTGCTCTTGGTACACGTCCACGTCTGGGCACCATATGTCAGAACAGGTAGGACGCATGCATTAAATACCTTCGTTCTTAATTTTAAAGGTATTTTTTGGTTTTTGATAGTCTATGAGAGTATTTAGTAATTATTTTAGCTTTCTTTAGATTCATTTTTAGTCCTTTCTTAAGAGATGTTTTTTCTAGGTCTGAAATTATTACTTTTAGTTGTTCCATAGTTGTTGCTATCAGGAGTACATCATCGGCGAATCTTAGATGATTTAAATATTTCCCGTTTATACAAATCCCTTTATTGTCCCAGTCTATAGATTTAAAAATGTCTTCCAATGCCAAAGTAAATAGTTTGGGTGAGATTGTATCCCCTTGTCTGACACCTCTACAAATTCTAATTAATGAAGTTTGTAAACCTCTGTCTAGCTGAATTCTCATAGTGGTGTTTTGATATATATTGTGGATTAACATTCTGTACCGTGAATCTATTCGGCAATTAACTAGTGCTTCTTCCACTGCCCATAGTTCTAGGCTGCCAAACGCTTTTTCATAGTCAACAAATGCTAGGTATATTGGAAGGTTGTATTCGTTGGTCTTTTCTATCAATATTTTAAGAGTGTGAAAGTTGTGCTGTACCCCTTTCTAAATCCTGCCTGCCCAACTAATTGGTATGCATCAAATTTGTTGTTTAGTCTAGTTGTGATCACCTTAGTGAAAGTTTTATAGATTTGTGACAAGAGAGATATTGGTCTATAATTAGCTAATTTTGATCTATTTACTTTCCTATATATCAGAATTAAATTTGCCTTGTTCCACTCTTGCGGCATTTGTCGTTCAAGCAAACATTTATTGAAAAGTATCTTTAGGTAGTTTTTTTTATTTTTTCCCCTCCTTCTTTTAACATTTCAATTAGAATTTCATCGTCTCCCGGAGCCTTATTTCTTTTCATATCTCTAATTGCTTTTTCTGTTTCTTCTCCGGTTATGGAGGGTAATATTTTATAGTTTACATTCATTATTTTCTTTTTCAGGTTTTGTTGAGTTGTATCAGGTGGACTGTTTTTAGAGCTGTAGAGGTCACTATAATATTCACTTGTTATCTTAGATATTTGGGTTCTGCTTTTTTTTCTTACACCTTGTTTATTTTCCATCTCTATGATTTTATTTCTTCCCAGGTGGGACTTGATAGATCTTAAGTTTCTATTTTGTTCTATAATCTTCTCGATTCGTTCTTCTTGATGCCGTTTGAGATCTTGTTTTATATGTCTTCTTATTTCTGCATTAAGGGGTTTGTATTCAGTTGTATTTCTTTTATTTTCTTGTAGTAGGCTTCTCTGTTGTTGTAGCATGTCTAAAGATATGGCACTTAATTTTGATTTTTTTGTCTGATTTTGCTGGTGCTAGTCTTTAGAAGTTCTTCAGCGATGGCTTTGTTTAGTTGATCTAGATTAAGGTCTGTTAGCTTTAGTTCTTTAGCTGTTCTTAATTTGTATATATATATATATATATATATATATATATATATATATATATATATACTTTTACACATTTCGCATAGCGCAGAGGATACAGAAAACGATATTATCATATCGTTTCGTTCACGGCCGCCAAAGCAGGTGGCGCCTTTGTAAGCTAACTACGGTGTAGTGAAGTTTTGGGAGACATTCGATGGACTTTCCGAGTTTGAATTTGTATCAGCCCAAGTGTCTGATGAGGCTGGGATAGGCCGAAATGATCATAACACTTTATTGATACCGATTCAAGCACGGGAAGTTTAACGAATTTGTCCTCCTAGGCCATATATTTGGCCATTTAATTCAATAAAGCGATAGCGGCTTTCGCTAAAAGATTTAATCTTTCACATATATAGATATATAATACAAAATCACAGATAACTAACTTGACTGATATATCTATTAACAACTAACCTACTTTAATAAATTTTCATTACCGTAGAATGGGGTGATTTTGATTCTATAAGGTGACTTTGATAAAACATGAATATTTTGTTTCAAGAGAGTATACAACCCAAATGTTTCGTCCGTTATGGTGGTTGTCTGAACTTTATTTCAGTACAGATGTTGATTCACTATAGCAAAAGGTGTTTGTGGCCAATATCAAAAGTATACGGTTGTAAATTCACCATTGAAGTTTTTGTTTGAATTTGAAGATTTTATATTGTGTTACTAAATTTAAACATACAGCTCTTACAATAGAATTGCAGGTAATTTTGTGTATGTTGCCTTAATGTAGGTCCTGTTGTCACTATTTTAAAATATTTAACCTAACTTATTTTCGTAACTACTCCATGAAATTGAATGATTTCTTATCCGGAGTCACTTTGATACATTTTTCGGGGTGACTTTGATACTTTATTTCTTTTTATAGTTTGCTTAATGAAACTTCAAACCGTTAATTATTTTCAGGATTTCGTCATTATCTGCATGAAAAGAAAAAATGCCGCGAGTTTATAAACGAAAGTTGGGATCAAGAAGCTACAAGAACTTCTCTGACGAAACTCTTGAACATGCTCTGCTTCAAATAGTAAACGGAAACTTGTCTGTTAAAGCCGCTTCAGAAAGATTTAAAATTCCGTATGGTACTTTATATAATAAATACAAAGGGAAGCATGTGAAGAAGCCAGGGGGCCAAACTGCGTTGACGGAGCTGGAGGAAAAATCAATCGTGTCCTGCATTGTCAAATGTGCAGATTGGGGATTTCCATTATCGACGCTAGATGTACAACTTTTCACTAAGAGTTATTTAGAAAGAACTGGAAGAATTATCTCTAAATTTTAAAACGGGGTAAGTCCTGGTAACGACTGGGTAAAACTTTTTTTAGAGAGACATAGTCAGCAAATCTCTGAACAACTTGCGTCTAACATTACTGGAGCTCGGGCAGGTGTCACAAAAGAAACGATAGAATCATATTTCAATAATTTAAGAACAACTCTCTCAAATTGCCCTCCATCACACGTTTTCAATTACGATGAAACCAACGTTAGTGATGATCCGGGGAAAAGAAGATTGCTTTATAGAAGAGGGACCAAATATCCAGAACAAATCACTAATCATAGTAAAGCCGCCACATCAATAATGATGTGCGGTGCTGCTGATGGTACACTACTCCCTCCTTATATAATGTATCGCAGCGAACATATGTGGGATGCATGGACATTAGGAGGTCCACAGGGCTCTC